TTCACAGCTGGATTTTTACAGCTTTTAATTTCATTTTTAAAAAATTAAAACACAGAAAATAACGACAGAAAATGGAGACAAATTTCATGAAAAAAAGTACGCACACATTGGCCTTGGACTAGGATTTGCGCGATCCTCTTGGACGAGAACTGAGCACGCTTGTATGTTCTCCGGCGTTTTCAGGGAATTCGAATTTGTTCTGAATTTTCCCAAAGAATATTATGAAAATACATAACTTTGGAGACATTTAAATAAACAAAAATTACAAAAAATTATGGTTCATTTGAACTTTTCTCCTAACTTTTCGGTATCTCCAGGACACTTCCTCTTCGCCCCAATTCAATCCCAAAAATCACGAAATTTGTCTGAAAACACACCGGGGCAACTGTTATTTTTTTTTCCCGTCCCTTCTTTTCCCCTAACAATGACCAATGACCTTCGATAATCTGTTCATTCTCTTTCTAACTTGTTTTATATGTCTCTTCTCTCTCTCTCTCTCTCTCTCTCTCTCTCTCTCTCTCTCTCTCTCTCTCTCTCTCTCTCTCTCAAAAAAGTACCTTTTTGTTGTTTGCCGCAATCATTTGAGCGACAGAATTCTCTCCTCTTCTTCTACATTTTTTTACCAGGTTCCATTCAATTTTTGTCAACATGTGACATTTGTTCCTTCCATTTTTTTCTTCTCCCAACACATCTCTTTGATTTCTTTAAAAATGTTTTGTGTACCTTTTCCAATTTCCTGTTCCTCGAATTTCTGAATTTGAATTGAACTTATCAAAAAAAAAAAAAATAGGATCACATGACAGTAAAATGATTTCATAATCCTTCAAACTGAAAAAATAACCAATTCGGATGTCAATAACAAGTATACATAAACCGACAGGAAAAGTGGGCGGAGCTTCCTTCTTTTGGTTCATCGCTTTCTCGACTAGAGCAGCAGCACAATTTTTAGCTGAACGAAATCGCATTTGACGGATTTGAAGGAGTCAGGAGAGAGGATAAGATGCACATATGTTCGGTATGATACAATCTTAGTTTAGTTTAGAGGTTTTTTGTCAGTTTGTAGTTTTAAAAACAAAGAAAAACACGTTGTTTCCTGAAAACTTCTAAGACTCGCACTTCGTTACTTTGACCTCACTCTGGTTTCTTTGAGAGATAATTCAAATGTTATCTCTATCAAAATGTTTTTGATGATACCGTGTCAAACCTGTAATAGAAGGGCCTCTATCTTTGAAATTTGAGCCAATTTATCTCGACTCCTGTCAAAGATATAAAAATTTTGTCAACGGATAAATTGTTCATCATAACATATCTTTCACACAAACCGGGATGATTGAGCTCAAATTTGAAAGTGTGGGGGCCCTTCTATTACAGGTGTTTTTCAATTTCTTTTATGTGAGCTGAAATAATTACAATGACAGTAAGGATTAGATCCACTTTTGCTTTCTTTTCAAAATTTCAAAACTTTAGGCATTTTTTTAAGTCAAATCCATCGGTTTCCTAGTGTATCCTTTCCAGCCCATTAAATTTTTCAAAAATTTCCCAATATTCTTATTTCCCCTATAAAAGCGTTGCCCAAACTTTCGATTCTCCTTTCTCTTTTTCTTAATCCCGTCTCCTACTCTTCCTCTAATCCATCAACAAATTCCGAAAAAAGAAAATCTCCCCGCGAGACGAGCTCTCTCCTCAACCCAACGATACAATTTATTGTTCCTCTCACTTCTGCGAAAAAATTCTGGTTAGACAAATTAAGAAAAGAAACGTGCCTTTGTTTGCCGCTTCAACGCCTTCTTTTTTCTCCTCGCGACGTCTCCTGAATTGTGCTTTTTGTTCATTGTGAATGACGCGACAAAACTCTTCTCACCGAAGAGGAAGGACACTTTTTTTTGCTTTGATCAACAACTTGTTGTTCAGTTTCCTCTCTTTTCCGGCTCAACGGATGTTTTTTTCCGTTCTTTGTTTTCTGTTATCACTATAATACTATAATTATATCTTTTTGTCGAGTCAAGCAAACAGTAAAACCCGGATGTGGTGTTATTTTTGAAAGTTTATCAAACATTTATTTTCAGAAGATTAGCGATTTATATTCTTCTGAAACTCTATAAAACTAATTCATTCTTAACTTGAGATCCGATTCGATATCCTACTTTTGCCATCTTCATTTTAATGTAATTTTTTAAGATATCGGTCACTTTCCTCTATTCTATCTCGTTTCTCTTCTAATACAAATCGGAAAAGTTATCAGTCCGGTTGGAAGGGGCACAAGATGAGGGGCACCATCAAAATGTGTAATATCCCCTCATTTTTTTTCTTTTTCTCTGTTTCCATCCAACTTCCAGCTGATTTCTAGATCTAATGATGTCTGCGTCTGGGTTTTTGAGTGAGTAGAGATCCAAGTGATCGATGATTTTGAAAGAAATCATTCATTCCCTTTTCATTGGTTCCGATTGCTCCGAATAGATTCACTAGATTCTGTAATTGAATCGGAATCTTTTTCTCTGAATTAATTTACACCGGAAGTATTGTAGAAGAAGCAAATCTTTGATTAGCTGTATATATGTAAATCAGATGTGAGTTGGAGAGGAAACTTTTTGAAATGAGATTAGTGGAGACGAAAGAAAAATACAAGGGAGAAAATCTTCTTCAAGGATCTTTGGATTTGAGAAATTTGACGTAGGAGATTGAAGAAATATGCAGAAGACGTCAGACTAGTTTTCAGAGTTTGAAAAATTGAATTGCGAAAAGGGTTCCAGAACAAAAAAGAGTAGATTTTTCCTTAAAAGCTTTTTTGGAATATCATGTTTCACTTGGCTCTGTTGGTTTTCTCGTTCCTCTTCCGTTCCAGAACAATTTCAAAATCTACCGTAACCCTTCAAAAATATTACACTCTTTCTCTCTATTCCGTATTCTAGGAACTTTCATATTTTTATTTATATCTCCTCCTTTTTCTTCAACCTACTTATCCCTTCTTTTCTTCTTCTAAATCACTTTCGAGCTCGTTTAGTTGTATCAATTTCCTCGTTTTCTCTAGAAAACTCTCTCGATTTCTCACACTGTCTCACATTCCAGTCTAAGAGATTACACCTTTTGTCCTCTGGTACATGCGTACTCGAGACGACGACTTCCTCCCACATTTTCTTTTTCCCGTTTTCAAAGATTAGTAGTATTTAGTAGTGACTTTTTTTAAATCTAGAACGAGTTCAATTTCTAAATTGACCACTCGTTTCAATTCTTCTAAATTATAGACCAATAAAAAAGAAGTCTGTTTTGGTCCCATGTGTCCTTCCACCACTTCTTCTTCTTCCTCTGAAACTTTTACTTTTCAATCGTATCGTTTTGACAAAAAAAGAAAGAAGAAAAGACTCCAGAACGAACTACTATTTACTCATTGTTCACCTTATTCTTTGCCACGTCACTCACCAGTTCTTTTCTGAGCAAATATTCGAAAGTTGAAGAAAAGAGGTAACAAGGGGTCGAGAGGAGGAAGAAAGGGGCAGAAGAAGAAGAACCAAGTGATCGGCAATTCACAATTTCTCACTATCTTTTCACTTTCTTTACCTTGTTGATACTGATACTTTTCAAGTGGTTACCAATTTTTTTTTTGTGTGGGTGGTTTGAAATTGTTTTTCTACTGCACCATTTCAACCTCGAAAGTAAAAGTCTTTTGAAGTTTAGAATAGAGTTCTATTCAAAAATATTTTTTTCGTATTTCTATATTATTCTGGAACGAAAAAATTGAAGCTGTGGAAGAGAAAACCCGGTGGCAGTAGCCGAAGATCCCAAAACGAAAACTAAAGTAACCTAAAAATAATGCTCTTTTTCGGTATTTATTTACTCGATGTTCACTGATTTTTGTCGAGTTTTCTGTTGGTTTTCCCCTAACAAATACTTTTTGGCTACGGTAGTTGTCGTTTTGGAACGCTTCTCTTCCTTAACTCCGATTTTTTGTACCAAAGCAACATCCGTTTTCCTTAACCGAAGAACAAAAGATAAAACTCGATATTTAATTTCTAAAGTAGTTATTTTTATAAATATTTTGGATGAGTAACCCGAGAGAATCTTCCTGCCAGACAGACAAACAGATGAAATACCTATATTTGTTTAGTTTCAAAAAATGCGTGGATCTTGGAGATCTCTAACAAAGAAACCCTTTGTTTTAACCTAGAAATTCTTGAAAGTCTCTCTCATATTCAGTGAAGTCATAAATTTTGACTCCCATGAAACCGATTGTTTCAAAACACCTAACATAAACCAATTCTTGTGACACATCTCGTGACCACATAAAGAGATCCTTCTGTGACCCTGGTATTACTCAGGCTATGATATCATCTCAAGAGGATTTTATTTGAGGTGAGAGAAAAAAAAGGATATGTGTGGGATTCGTTTTTGGTGACGAGGCATAAGCTGAGGGATCACTTGGAAATATGGAAAGAAGAGGAAAAACAAAATATGTTATCTTTTTTAGAATTTATACGAATATTTGAAATCAGAAATAATTCGGAAAACTAGACGATAGGCAGGAAGTTATTCTCTTTCGGGAAATATGATTTTGGCTGAAGTCTAACAGGGAGTTGGACGCCTCCTGTTAGTAGAATTTATTTGACGAAAAACTTCTGCAAGCAACAATCAGCACTGAAACTATAAAACCTTGTTAACAAATTAGTTCCCTTCTGACTTTTTCGCATTCCTGAAATACCTCCTCAGTCATCTCGAATTTCCGTTTTTTTGTTGTTTCTCTTCTCGTTTAACACACAATCGTCCCCCTCAATAAATCATCAAAAACCATTTCTTGAAAGGGTCAAATCAGCCTTTACTCTGCCATCTACTAATTGCCTTTTTTCCTCTTCTGCCACAGTTATTTTTTTATTTCTCGTGTGACATGTTTCCGGTTCTACTTTTTCAAATATCAAACTCTTCTTTTTTTTGGATTTTATTGGATTTTCTGCCTTTTTAAACCGTCCTCCGTCCAACCAGTTTCCTTATATTTTTCCCCTATTTTCAGAATGTCAAGAAATGTTGGTGTTCTTGGACAAATGTCTGAAATCAACGATCATTTGTACCTATCCGGAGCAGGAGTTTTGAAGCCGGAGAAGATAAAACAAAGGAAGATCAATATGATTGTGAATGCAACTACTGAGGAGCCATCCACCTATATGCAAGGTTTGTTTTTATTTGGCAAATTCGCTCTACTCAGAATCTGAAACTTCAGGAGTCGACACAATGAAGATTCGTATCGAGGATCATCCATACGCAAGACTCAGTGAGCATTTCGATGTGGTTGCTGATAAAATTCGTAATGTCAAGGTTAGTTTTAGGAACAATAATTGAAAAGTTTGGTGGCGAACCCTTTTGGATTCATGAGCACCCACAGCATCCATAAAATTGGTTTATTTTTTCGAATGATATCTGAAATTTTTTTTTAATTCAAAAGAAATCCGAAATCCCCGAAAAATGCCGTTGAAAACGAAAATTTTGCTCTGAAAGGGTGGCGAATAGAGACCAGGATTTGAATTCCCGCGCAGAGAGAAACCTAGGCCACAGCGGTGGGACAAAAAAAAATTTTGGTCGCAGTCCCCCTTTTTGTTCTGACGAAAAATATCAAACCATTACAGTAATTTTCTAATTTCAAACAAGTTCTTCCATTTTGAAAATTCGCTCTCTTTCTCTCCTTCAACCACAATTCAAAATCGTAAAAACGTTCATTTTTCCCCTTCGACCACAATCATAAATTCAGTGAAGAACGGCCCTCGAGAGTAATTACAAACAACTGGTTTTTCATTTTTTGTAATGCCCATTCGGCAGTTTGAGGGAATAAACATGAAAAATGAAAAGTTTTAAAAAAAATTTTAGGAAAGAGGAGGAAAAACATTGGTTCATTGTATGGCTGGAGTGTCTCGATCCGCTTCGTTAGTTATGATTTATTTGGTGAAACATGAGCATATGACACTTCGACAAGCATATCATTATGTAAAAGCGGCTCGTCCGATCATTCGTCCAAACATCGGATTCTGGAAACAAATGGTAGATTATGAGAAACGTCTTCGAGGAACTGCTTCAGTCAAAATGGTTCAAACACCAGAATGTGATATGCCGATTCCAGATGTTTATGCTGATGATTTGAGAAGAATGCAGATTAATAGAGAAATCGCTAGACATTCTGCACCATCTTCTCAAAGTTCCACAACAAAGCAAAGAGCTTTTTCAGCAAGGTAGAATACTAGAGCACATTTCAATCCTCTTCAATCTTTTTCTTTTTCTTTCAGCACGTACCGTCCATCAGTTCCATCTGCTTCCTCCCTTGCCACATCATCACTTCGTCGGGCGTACAGTCCATCATCTCTTCCTCCATCAAGTCTTGCTCTCACAACTTCATACAGCCTTTTCTCTCCAGCACCTACCCGGAAACCACGTCAAAGTCTCTTCTCAATGTATTCCACTTCGCCACGTCACAACTTCTTCTCTGCGTTCTAACTGTTAGGAACGGTCTTCTTATCTTGTATCATAATTTTCGTTTCCCAATGACCAAAAAACTACTTATCAAGACGTTCTTAAAGCTTTCCCTAATAATTGAGTAGTTTGCTTTTTTCCAAAAAACAATTTCTGAATTTATATTATTTCTCTATCTCTCTGTAATGCGAAAAAAGTGGTAACGGGTTGATTTCCCCCCAACAAAAACACACAAAAATCAACATATTTTCCTAACTTTCTTTGATCGCTTTCGTCACAAAAATACCTTAATACTGTATCCTATTGTCAACATCATTCCGATAAACTACTATATTTTAATTTTTTTTTTATGCAATAGAAAAAAAACAGAGTTCACACATGTTCGGATTCCAAAATTGCCAGATACGAAAACACTTCTGATGGTGGGTTCAGAGAAATGTATAACATAAAACCTCTTCTATTTTTTTACGAATTTAACACTATCCCCAGGCAGACCTCAAAACGGAATTCGGAATTCCGAAATCTGATATTCCATCTCGAAAAAGTGCAACTTTTAAATGAACCTGATTGAAAATTAGTTCTTTTGCAACGAGGGTTACTGTAATGAAAATAATATGCTTGGAATAGTCTGAGCTTGATTAGAAAATAAATGGTGTGTTGAATGACAAAAAATGGCTTCAGTCCAAATTTATATTTTGGGCAAAACACAGACATGAAGAGTGATAACGATATCTTAATTAACGGACTATAAAAAATGTAGACCTAAAATCAAAAAAAAATTGTGGTAGACAAAGGGAAACACTGGTTCATCGGCAAAAACTGAAATTCATAACAATAGAAAAGGAAACTACAGTAATCCATAATTAAAGTACCCTCTTTTTTAATCTTTTACCGTAAAACCTGTATTAGAAGGGCCCCACTAATAGAACGGCCCCTCTAATGGAAGGGCATTCCGAGAGGGCTTTCGGACGAATATTGGCCAGGTTCTGGTCAGAAGTTGGCCAAAAACTACTGTAGAGCGGGTTATTGCCAGATTGAAGATGATAGTTGAAATACCGTAACCGTCAACTTTGAGCCCATTTATCTTCTTTCCTGTGATAGATACAGAATATATTGAATTTCACGTGATCTCTTTTTTCATAAAGTCATTTTAATATGACGTTTGTCAAGGCCTCCGTGAAATCCTAAAAAATCGTGGCAAATCCAGGATATACACAGAAAAATAGAGGAAATCAGTATCACGATTCCAACGTTAAAGTTGCAGGATCTTGCAGGACCCTTGGTTTTCAGGATGCACAGACTTCCAGGACTTCGTGGGCAGCTTCAAGGACACAGGATGGCACGGATCCAATGCAAAATGACCATGTGTAAAGTTCTGAAACTTCCTCGGGTTATAACATCTACAGAAAAAAAAGTAAAAATCTGTATTTAGTTTCAAACATTCAAATTACAGGGCTGCTCGGTCTCTGGGACAAACTTCAAAGATTTCGAGGACAGCCTCAAGGACACAGGATGGCATGGATTCAAAGCAATGATTGTTAACAAAATGGGAGCAAAATTTAGGATTTAGAAAATTGAGTGACATTCAGTATTTAGTCTTCAACATTCGAGCTACAGGGGCTGCTTGGTTCCCGGAGCCAACTTCCAAGGACTTCGAGGACAGCTTCGGGACCACATTGCAGGATGCGAAGGATTCGAATCAAGTAACGAAAATGAAGAAAGGTGAGAAAATGGCAGTTTTCAGTAAAATTTTTTTGATCAATGGGGAAAAATGGGAATTTTCAAAAACGAAAAAAATACCATTTTTAAAAAATTCTCGAAAATTCACGTTGACTACGATGATTTTCACGGAAATACTTTTTAAATAACGAAAATATAAATGGGAAAATTTGGATTTTTAAATTACGCAATTTTAAATTATTCTGACAAATTTTCCTGAATACTTCAAAAAATCAAAAAAAAATTCAACAAAAAAGGAATTCAGTCGTCATCAGTAACACCAGTGGTTGACAGGATTTCAGACACCTACATGCAAATCCGATGAGGTAACAAAAAATGAAAAATATTCGTAAAAAATTAGTTTAATTTCAGATGTCCAATGTCCCGGGACAAGAGAGACGGAGTCGACGTCCTGTTTTCAGAACATCGTAAACTTGATTTTTTGTGTGGAATTCCTTTTTCGCTTTTCTTGCTGCTCTCGCGCGTTTTTGTCTTCGGTGATGACCTCGTTGTTCGTGTCCGTTGTCTTTCAAAAACTCCTCTGTCCGTCATCCAGTATCCAAACAATTTCGCATGCATCTCTGGTTTGGAGTTTTCGGTTTTCTATTAGATTGATTCATAAGTTGCTGTCGAGTTCTTCGATGATCGCTTCTCGGTGTCCATTCTTGAAAAAATGTTTGTACCTTGTCGCGGCAGCAGTCCCACTACTGCACAACTACAAATCAATATCACAATAATAGAGACTCCACGTGTCTTAACCAAAATAAATTAATATAGTCAACATTTATTCCTTTCCGACGTGACCAACCTTTGGCTCTTTTCCCTCAGTTGCCCTGACCTCCACGATTGCCACGTCACTGATCCTTATCTCGATGGCTATAAAAGGAAACAAAATCAACCGAAAGATCAGTTATTCCCCTTGGAATCCTCCCATACTCTTTTGTCGCCGAAGTCTACTGTCACCCCGATTCTCTACCATGGATCCGAATCTCAAGAAGTCCTCTACGGAAGCACCGAAGGTTCCAATCCAAGCTACTTCTCAGTCCAACGTCATGGAGATCGACAATCCAAAGGGCTCCAAGGCGCCTGCACAGTCCAAGAAAGGTATCTTAGTTAACTATATTGGTTTTCGAATAAATGATTGATGAAAACTCTTTGTACTGATACCTAACCTCGGGTCCACCACCTAAAGAGGCGGAACATACCTTGCCCGAAAAAAAAATTTGCTGTTATTCTCTGATTTGGACTCTTTGGACTTCTAGTTGTGGTTATCTGTATTGTCTGTTATCTGTATTGTCTGTCCTTCCGGCTGTGTCTCGAATTCGTGTTCATTTTTTATTATTTATCTGGTACAAGAAATCGGAGCTGTGGATGAGAAACGTAGGCGGCCATGGCTGAAGAACCCAAAACGACAACTACCGTAACCTAAAAAATATTTTTAGTTTCCTTATTTATTTTCTCGATCCACTTTCAGCCAAAACTTTGATTTTCTGACTCTCATGGAAAAATATAAGAAAACTCGACGTAGAGCGGTGAAAAACGAAAAAAGAACAAAAGTAAGAATATCTTCGGGTTGCTGTAGTTGTCGTTGTGGGACCCTCGGTCACGGCCACCGGCGTTGCTCTTTCACGGCTTCAATTTTTTTGTATCGTTATCATACATAGCTAATATTAATCATGGCATTTGTCGAATCACAAAAATAAACACACTATTTCATTTCCTCATAATTATGTTCATAAGCAGTTATGCTTCAATACTATGACTTTTTTTGGAATACGTAGAAACTCTTCTCACACGACATCTGTCAGAATTCGTCAACTATTGTTGCCACGTCTTCTTCTTTTTGTCATTTCAGTTGGATCCCATAATTTACAATGCATAGCCGAAGGGTACACTTTGACTCCATTTGCCCTTTTCACAAAATCTTCGTTTCCGGAGAGGTGGTAGTTTGTCGTTTGTTGGCCTTGTAGTCGTCGTCGTCAACGCCTACCGCCCTTCCTTTTTCCTGTCAATTATCGAATTATAAATGGAACAGCGAGTTTTGGTAATGGAAGAAGACAGAAAAGGAGACCGAGCTCTCTCTGAATTTATATATTTTTCATCCAGTTGATTTGGAGAGGAAAAGAAAGAAACCTAGGGACGTCTGAATTTTGATTTATGCTAAGTGGCAATTTCTTTTTCTACTCGTCTTCGTATTTTCCAAGCTTCTTTCTTCTCGTCTGCTTATAAAATGTCTGATGTTCCTTTTCTTGTGAAATTCGGTTTTCCAGTTGAAAATTTCCTATGTCCTAGTGGACACTCAATTAAATAGTGATTTTAGATTTATAATTTTTTAAAGAGAATCATCTAGTTCTTTGACTTTAAAAACTATCCCGAAAATGACTGAATAGTTTATCCATCAACTTGTAATTCTTGCTCTACCTGCCATGTGACTCTGTGAAAAAAAAGACTAGCAATAGAATGTGTTTAAAATAAGGTCGGACCAACATCTATGTTGTCTCTCTCCTCCTCTTCACCTGAATAATAATAAAAGCTATGAAAAGGGAAAATGGAGTGAGTTTAAAGGAGAGAAGAGGAAATGACGGAGAAAGGTGTCCTCCTTCGTCCGGAAAACTGCAATCTTTCACTGCCACCAACAAAGCTTTTTGACGAATTTCGATGGACGAAAAGACTCGAAAAGAGAAAATATAAAAGCAAAGAAAAAGTTAACGCCCGAACTCAAAAACGAGGAGGAATTTAGATCCCCCGCTTCGTCTTCAGTGAAACCGTTGCTTTTCTTCCTCGCAAAGTTATATTCTTCACATTACTCTCGTCCGAAATCAATGTACGTTGCGGCCGAAAATTTACACAAAATCGCATCGTCGGTCGCACAGCGAAAAAACAAATTGATGCATGCGCCTTTAAATACCGTACCTCGGACGTTTTTTATTTTGGGCCCTATTATGCTTGTCTGAGAAAAAAAAGGTTAGAGAGTATTTTTTGCAGTCTGAGTACGGTAGCGATATCGAAGCGGAGAGCCTAAATAGCACACAAACGGTGGAGACGCAGACACTTTTTCTCTGCGTCTCAACCTTTTTTTTCTCAGACAAGCATAATATTTGGCTGTTGTTTTCTATTTTATAAGAGAAATAAATTAAAGATTTTTAAGAATTACACAAAATTAGACAGAAACAAGCGAAAAATTAAAGAAATTTGAGAAAATTCGATAAATGTTGAGGTATAGTATTAAAGGCGCGTGCAATAATTTTAAAAATACAGTAAGGTTCTCTCTGTGGGAGCTAAGCTCCGCCCACCGTTGTTTTCTCGGCCGCAACGTGCATTTATTTCGGACAAGAGTAATATTTGAGATTCAGTGCTTTTTTTTTTCATACTTTTCAATATATTAAACTTCTTACAGATGAACTTAACGCTGAATTGGTACATTCTTGTGCTACTTCTTTGTCTACCAGTATCAGTGAATACTATCGAATGTCTGAACTACAGAGTCGCTGAGGGACAACCAATATTGAAGGCTGAACGAAATGTAGGTCCCGGAAATATCCATCGAAATTCTATCGAGATCAATTACAGCCAAGATGCCACTCGAAAGCAGAATACTGCGTTAAGATAACTGGGAATAGCAAAACTGGAAACGAACCTTTTATATCAGGTCGATGTGAACATTCCGGAGAATGCAAGGAACACAGAAATGATTGTTTCATACGAACAGACGCACAAGGAATGGAAGAAAACGTTTGTTGCAGTGATGGGAATTTCTCGAACAAAGAAACACACATCTCAGTAACTTCTTCGATTATTCTGTTAACCTCTGTATATGTTTTCGTATTTTAATTCTCTTAATGAATGGCTTAGTATGAAGAAACTTTTAAACAACATTTCATTGTAAACAAAAACAACGATTTACTTCTGGGCCTTCTTCAGCTTGGCGAGCTCGACTCGGACGATTCTGTTTCTCATCTGCTTGGCCTTCATAAGCTTGTATCTCTCAAAGTCGGTAAGCTTAGCTCTCTGAAAAATACTTATGTTTGTCATATAAGACACTTTTAGTGTTGTTTAATAAAGAATATACTTACGATGGCTCTTTGGGCGATCTTCTTAGCCCATTGAGTCTTCTGGAAGTTCTCGGCAACCTTGGCGGCGTCGAAGGCGGTCTGGACTCCCTTGGAGCGTTGTCCGACGCGAATCTTTACGACGAACTTGGTAAGGTGGAGGTCCTTCAAGTTTCTGACGGTGCGGGCGACTCCCGAGGAAGGTCCATCGATTTGAACCTGAATAATATTAAATTACTGTTCCGATTTTATTTCAAGAAAGGGCTTACTCTGTTTCCATCGATAACGTTAACGACGGTGGCGAGCTTTCCTTGGTCGTTTCCGGAGGCGATGAAGACGACGCGCCCAATTTGAACGACACGGTTGAAGACCATGTTTCCTGTAAATTCATTTTTTTTAATTTTGTAAGAGGATTCGAAATAGAGGAGAGAAATAAAGAAAGAAAAACAGATTCTGATGATTTAAAAAATACAGATTCCGAACAAAACTTATACTTTCACTGCCACTATTTTTATGTAACTATTTTTGAAAAATTTCACAAAAAATTGGTTGAAATTCGCTAAAAAAAGAAGAAAATTTAGGAAAAAATTGCAAAGTGAGACACTGGAGCAGACACTACGGTGGCGATTTCGTGTCGAGACCCAATGGAGGCGGAGCCTAATGCAGAGTGCGGCATGGTTTCTCGGCAGCAGGGCGCAGTTTTTGCGATAGTATTTTTCGGCAAAAAAATTGGAAAGAATGTTCTTTTTCAGATTTATAGTGAAAATTGCGAATTTCGATAAGAAATCAATACTTTTAAAAATTAATGACATTAAATATTTCTTAATTGTTCGATTTTCCACCTCCTCTGCTCTAGCTGATCTCTTTTCTCTCTGGACAGTTGCCGAGAAAATAATGTGGTTAGTATGATTTTTAGGTTGCAAGTCATGACAGAATTTCATTACAGAAGAGGCAAAATAAAGATATTTAACAGTAAGATAAACGTTTATTTTTAAAAATACGAATTATTGGTGCTCAAAAAAATAAATACAGTTAATATACATATCGGGAGTCGATAAGCTTAACAGCGCTCTCTTCGTTCATCCTACTCATCCCATCCCTCAGTCGAGAAATCGAAGAATCTTGAAGTTGTTCAAACTGGTCCAGGAGAATCATCGTTGGGCTCGAATCATCACCAGCAGAGCAGATGGAAATCAGTTCAATCATATGGTCGCAGTCGAGTTGCTATAAAACTTAGTTTCGTTAAAAACAGCCTGTGTTATTCTTACTTGAGCCAGCGTCTGCCACTTGCACTGGTCGTCGAAAATTTTCGATACACGGATTCTGGTTAAGTAGTCCAAATTGCACACCGAATCACTCAGTTTTGGGTTCCTCTCCCATTCAGTTCGACGTCTTTGTGATCGTGTAGTTGATGTGGATGGACCTGGTTGCTCGTCGTCAGATTCCGAAATTGAAACTCTTGTTACACGAGGAGTAATTGAATCAGTCTCTTCCAATAGTGTCTCGGCATCTTGAAAATTATTGTTTTTTTTTAATTTCAGGCTAAAAATCTACCATTCATGATCGCTTCCCTGGATCTTTTAACAAGACGATTACGTAAACTGTCTTCAGTGGGAGCCTGATCAGGATGAGATCTTCCGAAAAGAGGCGACCGAGATACTGCTAAATCATTCGGAGCATTGAAGCCCTCCTTTTTTGGCAATTCTGGACGATCTCCGTTGATAATATTCTGGACAACACTATCTTCATTGTCAGCCAAGCAAACTCCCTGGAAAAATAATCACATTTTCAAAGTATCATCAAATCAATTTGTCAAACCTTGCAGTTTTGTCGATTGGGATCGGCTCCATTATCCAGAAGTAATCCAATAACGGGATAGTTGACATTCTTAACAGCCAAGCTCAAGGATGTTTCTCCTAAAGCATCTTCGATATTTGTGTTAGAACCTCTCTCGACAAGTAATTGAATAGTCTCGAAATCGTTCATTTCAATAGCATGCATCAATGCGTTTCGTTTCTTTTCAGTATCCAAAAAGTCAATCAAAGCTCCTGCTTCTAAAAGCATTTCGATCAGAGATAACTTCAATCTTCTGACAGCAACATGAATAGGAGCAAAGCCTTCAGAATTCAATTGATTTATATCGAATCGTTGACCTCTTGTTGGTTCGAGCACTTCTTTAAAAATGGATTCGTTGTAGGCGTCTCCGAGATAGTGAAGAACCTGCAGTGATATTCAATTAGCACAACAAAGGTTTTATGAAAATACCGTGTTTCCATGATGGTCTGAAATATTGATTTTGGCACCATGATTCATGAGATAATGAACTGCGTCTGGGTCACCAGCTCGAATAGCACAATGCAGTGACGTTAGTCCGTGATTATTTTGTACATTTATCACTTCTCAAAACATAAAATTTTGGATTATATTAGAAGGAAGGTGTAGCATACCTTCTTTGAGACTGTTTGGAAGAACAGAAAGCAAAAGTTTGAGAGAGAAACTTTGTCCGTTTTTTGCTGCAACATGGAATACTCTGGAACGGAGAAAATATGGTTTTGATTTTAAAGCTAATTCATCATACGTATTTCCTTCGACATCATGTTTCGCAATTTGTGAAACGAATGGCTGAAGAAGCGAAATTGTATCTCCGTTGTTGCAAACTCTAGCAGTCTGTCAAACAGAGACACATCTTGTGTAGTTGAATGCTGAAGACGAGCCCTCGGTAAATACTTAAAAGGGATCGTTGTCACGTTATCATCAGAAGTCGAAAAACGAATTTCCAGTTCAAGTTCGGCTTCGATTGGTAGAACTGGGACTGTGAATGTGACTAACTGAAAAAAAAAAAACTAGATTACTTGGAAATGTTTTTGAACAATACTGAATGTTTCTCCACGACGTCAACAGCACTTTCTTCTAAGTTCTCTCCAAGAAAATGAATATTGAGAGGTTCGGTGATATCTCCTATAAAGAGTTTATTAATCTTTGGCTTTGTGTCAGCAATCTTGCCTGCTCCTGAATATGTGGCCCAAACGCGATCACCAGCAAAGCCCTCGCATGAGGAAAATTCTTCGATGAAAATTCGATGGTACTGGTTTGAAGACTCCTTGTTAGTTGTAGAATTGATCTGCAAGAGTGCAAGAAGTTATGAAGGCAAAATATCCGGTGATGATTCATCACTGATGAACCACAGTTGGCAACAAGTTCAACGAACCTCAGTGTCTGATTTAGACTTCTGAATATCATTGTTTTCATAGCATGTTTTGTTTTCATCTGCAGAAGGCATTGATGTTCAGTATGGATATATAATTGAAACAAAACGAACGAATGGGTATTGAATGAAAGCTCTCGCGGGAGAGATCTTCCGACCGCCTGCTCGACTGTGTGTAAACTCGGCAGCATCTGCGACTCTTCATTTCACTCGCTATCATCGTGATCTCTGGATCCAAGCACTTGGTCGATCGGAAGAGAGCGCGAGGACAATCTTATGACAATCTGATGGGAGAAGCGAAAATGCTATAGGATTTTTCGAGAAATAGAGAAAGAAAAAAGAAATGATGAAGTGTTCAAAAATAATAACATGTATGACATTAACTGACCACGAGCTGGTGAATAGAAATACTATTTAGAAGGAACTATTTCAGGGCTTAATAAAAATGTTATTCTTCATCCAAATTCATAATGAAGAACAGTCAAAATTCCTCAAGAAAATTCCTCCAAAAAGGAAAATTCTGAACATTGAGAATTTTCAAGGCGCATGCAGTTTTACAGCCAGTTGGAAACCGCACCGATCTACAGTAGTCTCGTTTGAACTGGGCGCGCGCGGAATCATCTCGAAATCTAGGAAAAATGGTTTTCAAGTTTTATGGGGTTATTCAGGGAATCGGCAAAAAAGGAAAACAACTCCGCGAAAACTCGGAGAGTGTTCCAATCTGGCTGAAACTTTGGGGAAAACTGGAGAAAACTATAGGAAACATTTTGCCAAAGTTTGGGGTCAAAATATCAACTTTGAAAATTTGTCTGAAATTCCAGCCAAATTTTCAAAGTCGATATATTGATTCCAAGTTTTGGCAATATGCTTCCTATAGTTTTCTCCAGTTTCCCCCAAAGTTTCAGCCAGGTTGGAACACTCTCCGAGTTTTCGCGGAGTTGTTTTCCTTTTTTGCCGATTCCCTGAATAACCCCATTATAAAAGCTTGCTTGCTCATGAATGTTTTCTCTTTTAGCTTTTGATTTTCAGACGAAAAATTGTGTTGTAACATATGGAGTTAAACAAGCGAGAAATCGTGGAAGTTGGTGGGATCAAATCCTGCTTCTTCCCAAATCTAGCGCTTTATGCGTCGAAAAATAGCGAAGCTCTTCTAAACGACCCAAAAAGCGTATGTTTCACTCGACAAGCTACGCCGTGACATACTATTTTCAGACTAATCTTTTCGCTGCCAATGTCTTCGGAGCTCTTAAAGACCAACCAAATGAGAATGACATCACGGAAATGATCCTTCCGCAAGATGCGAATGCTGATGTCCTCGCTGCTGGAATGGACGCTTGTCTTCTGCTGGGAAAGCAATATGTATGTTTTGCGTTGCCGATTTATTGTAATTTATATGTTTAGCACCAACTCTTCGAATCCGCCAATGAACGATTATCTGTCCTCGGTCGCACTCACGATCTTGCTTCAATCAAGGATGACGAAAAGAAGCTTACTGTACTCGCTCGAAGAACCAAGCTGAAGAAGACTGAGGGCGCAAAGATTCTTCAGATTCTTATCGAAGCAATCGCCGAGGAGGATGTTTTCGAAAAGTTTATGAAGATCGCAGAGTTGTGCTCGCATGATCTGGATTTTGATGCATACGTCCTAATCAAAGCTCTCGGCCTTGAATGTGAAGAAGCTGTCGAGGAATTCAAAATTATTCGCGAAAACGTTCTTGCGGTTCTCAAAGAGTGCAACCCTCTCTTGAGCGAATTATTGTGAGTTACATATGAAAACTGTAGGTCAGACGTTGTTTCAGGGTTGATGGACCGAAGGGAGCTCCGGTCAACGAGTTCACCCAACTTCTGCTAGGATCACTAAGTGAAGAGTCTCTCGAAAATCTAGTGACCCGCATTTCTGAGCAGTTTGAGCAGGAGCAAAAAGACGACAGCGACAAATCGCTTGTTGCAAGATATCATCTTGGATTCCAGTTGAATTTCCTGGTTGTTCGTACGCTCGCTGCTGATCAAAGAGAACTGGCGAAAAAGATTCAGTCGAAGATCCCTGCAGATATTAGATCTGAGATCTTCCCAGGATTGCAGAAGAGTGTCTTCAAGAGCTCAGTTTTTCTTGGTCATCACATTGTCCAAGTCTTTTTGGGATGTAAGATATCGAAGTTTGTTTTTTGAAAAAGAATAATTTTATTTCCAGCCAAAAAATCCTTCCCTGAGTGGCCACATACCGGACTTTCGCAAGATTTCGATTGCATCTGGAGAAGACGAGCGATTGCTGAGCTTTTCAAGAAGTACAGTGTTTCCATTATCGAAAATGTGTTCGATGAGGCTGTTCCATTGGTGATTTTATATTTCGAAGCAAATGAACGTTTAAAAGTTATAGATCACTGATGCTGGTGTCAATAACAGTGATATGTTGGAGAAAGTCATCAACGCTTTGCGTTTCGCTTCATGGATCGTCGAGTGTTATGGTACAGAGACTGAAAGCAAATCAGTCAAGGAGCTCGCTTTCTTAGACACATCGTCGAGAAAACTTCTCATGGAAAGCTTCAATAGTTAGTGATTTGCTTTTTTTTCATTTTTTCCAATAATGGATTTCGCTTGCAGAGTTTTCTCAAGGATCTGATTCCAAAGACCACATAATGCGAATCGTGAAATCTTTGGAGCTCGCCGGCTCGATCGTCACCGCTACGCCGACCGATTCACAGCCATCTGTTTCACACAGTACAAAGCCAGATTTGAGCTACACCAGAGAAACTATACTGGACGCTCAATTGACCAAAGCTTTCAACGTCAAGGCCGATGTACTTCGTGGATTGAACAATTCTAACTCAGTCGGATTGCTTGCAGAAGCTAAGGACTCCACTAGTCTTCTTGAGATTCCTGTTGACGAGACAGACTCGACACGTGTTTTGAACACCACGAAAGACATCGGAAACGGCGTTTACGTCAAAGCACAAGATCCAATCAAAGAGAAACCAATGGATCTTCCTGTCATCGCGCATCCGGAAAACCTAGCTCAAGTCGACTCATCGACTTCGAATGAGACTGTTTCTCTTCTTTCCACAGACGCGCGCGAATCGACCGACGGATGGGAGCAGAGTCCGACCAAATCTGTTGCTTTGCCAGTGGTATTGAAACTTTTTATTTCTAAATTTAATATGAAATGTTTCTAGGATGCTATTGTCGAAGAAGAAGAGTACCCCACCATGAGAGAGGAAGAAGAACTTTCCGCAATCCAAAATCAACAACATTCGTCTACTGAGAAGATCGAAACTCTTAAATCTCCAGAGAGTCGTGTGAAAACTTCGTGGGGAGCTGGAGATGTGACCCCAATTCCTTTGGCTACTCCAACCAACGAATACAAAGTTAGTGGCTTCGGAGGAGCTACATTGGCTAAAGGATTTGGAACGTTCGGTAGCAGTGGCGGAGGATTCGGCGGTGGTGGTGGAGGTTACGGAGGAGGGCGCGGCGGCGGATACGGCGATCGTGGTGGCCGTGGAGGAGGATATGGTGACCGTGGAAGTCGTGGTGGTGGCTATGGAGGTGATCGTGGCGGACGAGGAGGTGGTTACAGCGGAGAACGTGGAGGTTACGGATCACAGCGTGGAAGCTACGGCGGACCCCGTGGTGGATTCCGAGGAGGCGTCTAAGAACATGGTCTCAAATTTATCTGTACTGCTTGCTTTTCGAATGCGCACTTATTGCGGGTTCTCCAGTTTTACTTTTCTTTATTTTTCTAACACGTCTATTGTAAGAGTAGTTTCAAAACATAACCATTTTAAAGTGTTTCCGGTTGCATAAAGTGCAATAAAAATTTTGTGCGATAATCATTGTTTCATATTGTCGAATTAAAAAAGTGGGACCTGGAAAATTTCGCGGGCGGCTTCCCGGTCAATTTTCGAGGCCTTGCCCAGAAACACTACGGTAGTAAACGAAACTTATTTCTGTGAATTTAGTGAGATTTTCTGATCAAAACTTAGATTTCTTGGTAGGAAAATGATCGCTAGCATCTTTAGAATCTGTTTTTCATTGGAAAACTGAACTTAATTGCGAAAGTAACTCGAACGAGGCGAAAATCTGAAATATTAAGTTTTTGCCGCACTTTTTCGTAGATCAAAAAAAGCTACGCCTTTCAAATTTTCAGGTTCGTTCAAGAGACCGCGCAAATTCCGGGGAAAGAAAAAATCGGGGAAAAAACCGGGGAAAAGTGGGCGGAGTCGGGGCGGAGCCTAAAATGCAACCCTGGCACGGTTTTGCCGCACGGTTTTTGACACTCCACCGATTCCGAGGAAGGGGTTGTCTCCGAGGAAATCGGGGCGG